AACTGGTCCACGCCACTTTGTTTAGCAAATGGTTCCATCTGTGGCAAAAGCGAGGTGGGTTCGCCCCATTGAATGACTTTATCTTGCGTGACCTCACCCACAAACAAATCAAAACCCTGTGAGGGTGCAAACCACTTCTTCGATGAAGCATCATATTTCTGATTATACCCTCCCACAAGTATGAATATTCTGTTGCCCTTCGCAATTGTTGTGGGTGCATACGCGTATCTCAGACCGCTGTTATGCTCCTCTAGCAGGGCTGTGTGAAAGATGCTGTACGTCTTCCATGTGTTTAGTCGGACCTCATCAACAAAAGACGACCAGTTTTCTGCAGGGTCAATGTACCCCGCCACAACATCATAAGACATGGGCCAATTGGGTTCGTAAGTAGAGAATGCAAGCATGGTGTAGCTCTGGGCGAAAGCAACCAAGACTCCACCAGCACTGGCAAGGGAAGGGAAGATAAAAAATTTCCATGCTTCACTTTGACCTTGTGTTTCCACGATCCTTCGACGCGGCACAAAAAGATTAGCATCCTTTGCCGGCTGCACGTCTTTTGGCGTACTTTTCTCCTCGGCGTGCACAGCCGTACTTCCAAAGCATAACAACAGCACGCAGAGAAGAAGCACCGAAAAAGAAAACAGGTGCCGGGACATGTTGAGCATGTGTTGCTGCTCACTCATTCTCTTCCTTCCTTGTGGTGGATCCGCTCAGGCCCCAACGATTGTGTGTGTGTGTGTGTGTTACTGGTGGTGACTGTAGCGCCTTTCAATGTGCACGGCAGCGAGTGGCGTTTGGTCTCTTTCCTTACGAGCGTGTTGAGGGAAGAAAAAATGAGGTGAAACCAAAAAAGAAAAAAAACGAACATAACGATACGCACCACCCGCGCCCACGGTTGGGCACCCCGCAAAAAACATTGGCAATCCATAACGAAGGTCACACCGATAAACGCGGTGGCAGCGACTGCTGTGCGCAGCCATAAGAAAAATCCACCCGCACCCGCACGGAGCATCCGCAGTGCGGGATGCCCACCACAGAAATCAAACAACAAAACAAAAATTAAACACATTCATAAGCACGCCGCTTACCGTCTCCCCCGCCCAGCCCCTTCAAACCCCGCCAGCAGCAACACGCAGTGCGCATGCCGGCGGGACCTCCCATCACGGCCACCACAAACTCCCCAACGCCCCCCACTTCCCTCAGCACACTGCAGCAGGAGTGGGGCGCAATATTTAAAAAATAAAAACAATAAAAACAATAAAAAATAAGCCCTGCGGAATAAGAGCGGCAGCCTCTTTTCCTGCTGCTTCGTTCGGCCCAAGAGCGAGGGCGACACCAGCGCAGCGGTAGACTCAGACTGCCCGGTCAGTGCATGCAACCTGAACAAGACGGAACAGGCGCATGCGCCCAGGACGGCAACCCAACAAAAAGAGAGGCGCCAACGGTGTTTGCTCGAGGCTCTCAGCGGTGCATGCAGCACCCCCCATTGGAGCACAGCCGAATTAAAAACAATGGCACCCAAAAAAACAAAGGGAAAAACACCACGCCAAGGCACAAAAACAATCACAATAATTCGGTTTGTCCCCTGACCTCTGGGCTGTGGTGGGCGCCGCATTTGCTTTCCTGCCTGTGAGCCCACTCAGCATGCAAAACTTACCCTCTCGCCCAAACTCTCTGCAGCAACAAACTGGGAACAGCGAGGAGATATCACCAATGGAATACTGCTGGCGTACACCCACAAGGCGCCATCATTCCCCACGCAATTTTACTCGCAACCACAACACAACAAAAAAAAAAGGTGCTGCTGTGGTAGCGCTGGCCATAATAATCATTTGGCGCACGGCAGAGCGAGTCCCTAATTACGCCTCCTACCCACACACAAACACACTCGGCAATATATAATACTCCCTAAAATATTTCACCAGTAAACTCAAGCTGTTTATTCCCCTCCTCCTTTTCCTTCTCCCTCTGGGTGTCGCCCACGTTGGGTTTGTCGTTCACTTCTGAAATTTTCAGCTGATACCGCTACCTCGCACTGACGCACCTGCTGATTCCAAAATGCCGCGATGGCCTGAGGGTCCTCAGGCTCATTGCTGCCCGTTACATTTGCATGCACGACGAGAACACATTGCTGCCATGCGTTTATTGCCGTACTGTCCTCATGATGCACGTAAATAATCTCCCACGACAAGCCTTCCGCAAAAGTTTCCCAGTCATTAAAATAACTCCATAGAAAATTGTTGAACTGCCTCACCGTGCTGGTTCTGGTGCCATGCTCAGCCCTCGTCGTCTCACCTGCACCCCAACCATCGTCCTCCGCGGTGCACCAACGAAGAAAAAGCCGTCCACAAACGGAAAATGTCTGCTCTTCGGTACGTATAGCACCTTGTATTGTACATCCAACATCGGAGGAGTGTGTTCCAGCGTTATTAATGCAACGGGTCTGCTTGGATGCTTTTCGAGGTTCGATTGCAGCACACATCTCTGTCGCCGACGACGTCCTGGTGGAGGCAACCCGTTGAGGCCCGGCATTATATTTTACACAAAGCCTCTACGCAGGAATGCGTGCAGAGTGCACCGCTCCAAAAGTTCCGGAATTAACACTTCGCAGTGCTTACGTAGTCGAGTGAAAGTTGTCAGAGTAATAAGACAAGGCAATGTTGAGGGGTTTGTTAACCTGCCGGTCTGTTTTTCCATTGAAAGCAAATTAATTGCAAAGTTGCTCAAAGTGGATGAGAAGAATGACTTTTTTTTCGACTATGTAGGGTGCGTCATTCGAGGGCCGCATTCCCATGCCCCCAATCATCCCATAATGTACAGCATTTGAGGCATCGATACCTGCCAGGACGTTATTGGCATCACGCACGCGGGTCTCATATTCATTGAATTGAAAGATGCATCGTGGAATCGGTCCGACGTCATCCATGCGCATGTGCGTCCTTCTCCAATACCCTGCCTGCTCCTCTTCAGTCGTATCGCGTGTCTCCCACGTACACATCGCCTTCACGTCGTTTTCATCGGGGCAATTCATGATTATTTTGATAGCATCCGCCTGCTCCGCCCATTGTTTGAAGTTATCTTCGTTCGGGGACGACAACATAATGATGCCCCACTCATCGGAGGGCACAACATCATTCGATGGTTCTTGAAGTTGTCTTGCCATATCGATGATAATATACCCCTTCATTCCACTCCCAGCCAAATTTACCATAACCCCTCTAATATTACACCCACCCTCGTATATTGTCACCGTTCGTGTCCTCCTGTCAAACAAGTATGCGAAACCCTTTCCAAAGCAGTACACAACCACATGGAGATTCGTGGCATCGTAGTGCAGCAGCTGATAAAGGAGGTAGGAGCCAGCCGCCATTGACTTCCCTATCCTGGGGGTTCCAATCAAAAGACGGCGTCTCATGCATGGTGGGCCTCTCTCTGCAGGGAGAAACACTCCTTTTAGATCGCTCTCGACGATCTTCCACACCCGATGCACCTCAATGTTAATGTAGCAGTCGGCAATAGGCACTGCATGGTTCAGCGAGTAAGGTCATCGCTGTTCAGAGGAAAGGATCATGAGTCGTGGGCGTGGTGGACGGAATTGCTCATCACCACCCACTGAGAAAAAAGTACACACAGTCTGCGTGTACTCCCATAACTCTTGTGGCCGTTAGCCCTCTATCACCACCATGTCTTCCCCTTCGCCCTCGGGAAATCCCACAACGTGACTCCACGTTGCGTTAAACACGGACTCGTAGAATGCCTCCGGTGATGGTCCTCTGAGGCGTATTTCGGTTTCCCGTGTTGCCCCTTCCTCCTACGCTAGTTGAAGAGTTGCCTTCAGTTTTGTTCGTGTAATAGCAGAGACAATACTCCTTATCTGTAAATTCCTTCCAGTCTCGCAGCGTGCCCACCATGCACTCCGTAAGCTTGCGTGCATCTTCAAAAAGCTGATACCCTGGTGGATCGAGGATTCCCTCACGACGCCTCTGCTCTGTAACGTACCTGTCTGGCCCACGCACAAACACCTCCATTGACACATTTTGGTCTTCACCCACCACTCTGCTGGGGCCAACGTACTGTCGAAGGAAGTCGTTCAGCAAAATTCTATTGATTTGGCCAACCCGCACATTACGGACATCCTCGATAGAGCCTGCAAGCGTCCTCCTTAGCCGCTGCAGCGCTCCTTTTCCACCCTTCGGCGCTCTGTGGGGGGCTCATACGAGCCGCCAGACAGCCCCGACCCCGACAAAAGCCGCTCTTGTAATAGAGAAGGTAGGGAAGATCTTGCACCCCTAAAAAGCCTCACCCACCTGTTTACAGACATCATTCCCTTTTATTATTATTTTGTTTTCCTTCGTATTTTGTTGACTTGGCCTTAGCTGCAGCACAATACAAACAACCAGTCAAAACGATGAATGAAAGAAAAGAGAAACAAAATTACGCATAAACACGACTCTACGCGGCTGCAACAAAAGAGAACATACCACTCACACAGTACACGGCGCACACCTTACACACACGCAGGAGGACCACCACGACGGCAATGTGAGTGCCCCACGCACCGCAGAGTGTTGAGGAGAGTCAGCGACAACAACAACGTGGTGGGTACGAAGGGCTTCTGCCCGTGAACCCCGCCGGCCACCGTCCCACACCGGCGTGATCAACGCCACTGCACACACACACACGCAAATAGGC